GGAGGATGGCGATACCGGGACTTCTGTCCTCAATATCGCCATCTGGCTCGAGGCCGTCCTTACTCTCCTACACGGGTGTGACTGGGAGGTCTACAGCTTCATTCTTGTTCACCTGCCTTCTCAATTGAGCAACCACGCCATCTTCTGCGACACTATCCCCCAAATCCAGGAGCTTCGAAGGCTCATTTGCGAGCAGATTCGGACAAACTCGTTTCAAGAGCCACCAAATGCGTCGGGCTTAAGACGTGCGGACGTGGCAATCTGTCTCTTCCACAGTCTGACCATGATTCTCAGTTACCACGATCATTTCCAGAAGGGAGACGAGGATGAGATTGTCAAGACGTTTGTCCATGGCATTGCTACCTGGGAGCGAAGTGCCAAATGCTGTATTCACGCCTTGTCTATATGCTGCCACGAGTTGCCCCTTTCGACGAGCAAATCACTTGTGCAGCTCCTTGCCAAGATGTCGACCATTATCACTCAACCACACGTCTCGATCCACATCCTCGAGTTTCTAGCCTGTCTTAGCCGTCTACACAACGTGTATGTCAACTTCAGGGAAGAGGAGTACAAGATTGTGTTCGGCATCTGTATTCGATATCTACAATCGGTAAGAGACAAGAAGGATTCCAATAGGAGCAGCCACACGAGCGAGCCATCGACGCCACTAAGTGCGTCTGACTCGGTGCATCCAAGTGCGACGGATGACCTGCCACAATATGTGTATGCCCTGGCATACCATGTTATCTTGTTCTGGTTCTTGGCCCTTAAGCTTCCTGATCGAGCAAACATGGTGGGATGGTTGGTTCGAAACATGTACAGCGACGCAGAGGAGGGACATGCCGACAACGAGCAAGCGCTCACCTCTATCGACTTTATGCAGAGGGTCACATACGCCGACATTGAAGAGTCCTCGCCAGACCCCCTTTTCACGGAGGCTCGGTTCGGTGAGATTGTCAAAAAGAACTGGCTGGTAGGGTATAGTATCGTCACGGTGATGCAGGCTACGACCACGGGCTGGGCACAAATCGTGAAGAGACAGCCATCAGGCACTTCTGTGTTTACGGTTCGAGAAGCTTTTGATCCACCACCTCCCCATCAGACGGAAAGCTATGTCGACATTAGCAGAGAGGGCCAGTCATCAACCAACACGATCTTGCCCAGCCACCTGCTCGTTCAGCTCATGTCATCGGTCCCTCAAGGCCACGATCTGGCGCGGCCCATCCCGCTACCTGATGATGATGTTGTTGATAGAGCTATTCGAGTCTTTGATCGAAGCTCTACTGTTGATGGTCACAAAGTTGGAGTCATCTATATCGGAGAAGGCCAGACGGACGAAGTCGAGATCCTTGCCAATGTGTCTGGAAGCAGCGACTACGTCGAGTTCCTGAACAACCTGGGAACGCTGACCAAGCTCAAGGGGGCTACTTTCAATACCCATGGTCTTGACCGCGAATTCGACTCCGATGGTCAGTACACGTTCTGCTGGCGTGATCGTGTCACCGAGATTGTGTTCCATGTTACAACGCAGATGCCTACCAACCTGGAACATGACCCCCGATGCACTCTCAAGAAGCGTCATATCGGCAACGACTTTGTCAACATCGTCTTCAACGATTCCGGGGCGCCCTTCAAGTTCGACACCTTCCCCGGCGACTTCAACTTTGTACACATTGTCATCACACCTGCGTCGCGAGCATCGTTTATTGCTGCCAGGGACACGTCTAAGCACAACCAACCTTTCTATCGTGTGCAAGTCATGAGCAAGCCGGGCTTCCCTGAGATCTCGCCCGCTTCTGAGACAAAGATGGTCTCTCTCAAGGCGCTGCCAGGTTTAATCCGTCTGCTTGCGCTCAACGCTTCTGTCTTCTCGCATGTCTGGGCAAACCGTGAGGGTGGAGAACATGTTAGCTCATGGCGGAGCCGTCTTCGTGCTATCAAGCGACTTCGCGAGAAGCACGCCACGTCAAAGTCAGGGCAGTTGACACCCTCAGCTTCGCAAAACTCGTCGCTGGGAAGTCCAACACCGCTGCACCAACAACAACTGCTGCAACAACAAGCCGAGGCCTCTTCACGGCCGGCTAGCACTGTTCGGGATAGCTTCACCAGTCTACGCCGTACCAGTGTCGCGACTTTCTTCACGAGCACAAGCGAACAGACCTCTCACCGGTCATCAATGCTGTCATCATCCACTACAACCAATGACACAGAGATCGGCACAGTCCATGGGCAGGACTCTATTGTTGACACGGTCGACTTCTCAAAGTGGGCTTAAGCGAGTAAACATTCACCAAGGATAGTTGAAGAATGAAAGAGGGGGGGAACAGGGATAACAAAACAAAAAAGGAGTGTCGTGTGTATGATGATGGAGTCTATTTGATCCTTGTTCAAGGTGCGGGAGGCGTCTATCTATATGAGGGAATCACGGATACAAAAAGTTCTTGTTTGGGTTTTGATCATGCCGTTCGTCTGTTTGTTTGTTTGTTTATTCATTATCATGCTCTCTCTGTCCAAAGTTTGGCTGCGTATAGTTGTTTCTCTACCCCTTTCTTCTCAACAGCTTTTTGGCTTTAAATACCCTTGATCTGCATCCTGGTCTGGACAAAAGATGGATGGATGGATGGATCATTTGACTTGGCTTCCTTTGTCTACGAGATCTCGTTTGTTGTGTCGGTGAGGCGGCTACATGATTGATTACACTGCAAAGACAAAAACAAATGGCACCTCAGAGGACCTCGCGGTCCGGCAATTTCCCCTCCTCGGATTTAACATGTCTCTCTCGTCCGTCCAGGTGTGCTCGCTCTTTTGCATGGATGTGTATCCGGCCTAATCAGCCGACGAAAAACCTGTCATTTCTTGACCTTTCTGTGTGACGCAGGCGGGAAACTGTCGTGTAACCTGCATCCAGCGCGCTTTGGATATTGGGTCTGATGGGTCCGTCTGACCGGCGCTCAATATCGGCGCTTCGTCCGTGTCCGCTTGTCGGACCGGGTACTCGGGGCTCAGGCTCAGTCACCGACCTCCTACCCTCTACTTCATCAAACCCCCTGCCGCCAATCCCGACTACTGAATCGTGGCAGCGGTCCGCTTACCCACACATGGTCCAGGGCTGATTTGTCCACGGAGGATAGCTGGGGACGGCATGGGATGGAGGGCCATTGATAACCCAGCCAGCCATCCATGGTTACACAGTTGCGGCGTCTGCGGAATCCACCGGATGAATGCCCAGCCAAGAAAAAACAGGATTGCTTGCTTGCGCCCAATCGAAAATATGGTCAGCCGGCACACAATCATGGTGACACAAGTGAAAAGGGAGGGCATCTCTTTGGGACATGGCTCTCAACAAGGAAAGTCGTAGAGCCGCGAATCAGAATACGGGTCGCGGTTGTCTCGTCTCGACTGGCAGGCAATCATGCAGAGACAAACGTGGGGGCTTGGAAGAGACATCGAGGTCGATCACACTTGGCGTCTATTGCCATCATAGACCTCTGAAGTTCGAGTGGCTAGTTCAAGAAGGGGGCTGAACGAGCTGCGAGCATAGAAGAGTTGGGGATACGGGCAGCCTACCGAAGAGCTGTTTGGTGTTTGAAGTTGATGAGTACGGCTATCGAAATAACGGCACGGCAGCACATCGAGCTACGGCGTGACCAGTCGGAGGCAAAAGCGACCCGAGTTGTGTGATGTGATGTGGTGCGGTATGGTACCTATGGTATGGTACAGTATGGTAGGTGGTATAAAGCCAACGGGCGGGCTGCCGAAATAAGACCTGGGATGACGGTTGCAAATGACGGGCTGTGGCCATCCATCATGGCATCCATGGCATGGCCAACTCGTGGATGCGAGTTTCGACCCAATCCTAGAGGGCCAATATGACCTGTCAGCCAGCCATGCAGCGTGCCGCAGCGGGCTAAATCTCTGGACCGTCTAGACCGATAGATCCGTCAATGAGTTTTCTAAATTCGGTAATCCTTCCACGACTGCGGTGCCGCAAGGTGAACGACGAGGGATTCCCCGCATGGCGGGGACAGTTGGACAACCCCAGGAGCAAATCAGCAGACTCAGCGAGTTTCCCTTCCTTGGCTTCGGCCCTTGAGTCAAGCCAGGCCTGGGACCAGGGTCGCTTCAATAACACGACGCGGTGGCGTGCTGTCAAGCCTGTGATGTCTGCTGTCTGCCCGTCCGTCTTGTCTTGCCTTGCTTGTCCCTTCTGTCTTTCGTGAGGCGAGCTGAATATCACTTTGTCAGCTCCACGTCAACAGACCAGTGCCTCGAAAGGGTTGCGATCTTCATGAGCTTTCTTCTGCGGTTCCGGGCAGGCTGTCCAAGGGCAGAACCGCACGTCGTCGCTTGCAGACGCGCGCAGGTTGGGGATTGATTGCGTATGCATGATCCAGAAAAAAAGAGGGCCCGGCGTATTCAAGTCTCTTGTCACTCAGGACAAGAGGCGGGCGTAGCGGACAGACAGACAGGGTGGACAGAAGACAAAGACATGCGCAACAAGAGAGTCATCGCTTACAGGCAGGTAAGGTAGATGGACCGAAAGTTGCTTAGAGAAGTGTTGGCTTAGAACTGAAACTCGGACTTGAGCCTCCAATTCCTCCTGGCTTCCAGTGAGAGTCGCCTTCCATCAGATGAGGGCAGCGCCCTATCCCGTTTCCTCATCATTGAAGCGGTCTGTCAGAAGCAAATCGCTAGAGTGGGAGCTTGCAAGCAGCGGATGGCTGAGAGTGCTAAGCTTAGATCTTGCGCCAGACTTCTTTGTACTCTGCCCATTTCTGAAACCCTGCAGAGTATCATTGTTAGCCATCCTGTAGTTCTCATCTCACCTCAGATATTTCTCCTTACCGAGAGATGACAAGACGTTCTCGTCAGACTTGATTCCATCTACAAACATCCCTACCATGCCCCTCTCAGTGAGCGAATGGCGACATGCCAGAAGCAATCTGATCATGACAGAGTCGCGCCGGTTCACCATGTCCGGATCGTCTTCTGGTGTCCTGTCAGCGTAGGATACTTGCGTGGTAACGGTATAACTTGCCTTTAATGCAAATGCATGAAACGCCTCCGATATCTTGCCCAACTGTAGCCGGCCATGGGATATCTGCAGCACATGGGCTGCCGTTGTTGGGGAAATATGTGATGGCTGCCGCAACCAAATTGTCCCCCTCAAGCCCAACGATTACATCGCTCAGATGACAACTGTCTATTGTCTTGGCGTACTGGTCGTACCACCCAAACCCAAACTTCCTCTCTGACTCCCTATTCGCCATGCCGATGATATGGTGGGCGTCTGGAAGCTGGCATGGCCTGAACGATAAACCCGCAGAAGCCAAGTCGGGGGCTGGGGAATCCGCGAATCTCAAGCACCAGTCTGACACGGGTCGGCCTTTCCCAGGCGTAAGCTCGTTTAGTTTCCATCCTCGGTTCTCAAACCACTCGCTGTTGTTGACGGGATCAGGTAAGCCGTAAAGTAACCGTGGGAATGTGCTTCCAATCTGAATTCGGCCGACGCCTCGGATCTTGTTGAGTTTGCTTAAAACTTCATCGTGAAGCATGCGCCCGATCCCTCGACCTCGAAAGTCCTGGTGGGCAATAATGGCAGCAATTGACCCGATAAGTCGGTCGCCGCTGCTATCCGCAAACGTGGTGAATGTTGCGCAAAATCCGACAATTCTCCCACTGCTGGGTTCCCTAATGATGTGGTGCATAGCGTACCCGTCGCGCTTCAATAGCGAACCAAGCACAGCGCGACTGAGGTGGAATTTTGGCGGCAGGGCCGCTAACCACAACATGTGCACTTCTGGAAGATCTCTCTCGTAGTTCCAAGGTTGGATTGGCCACAGTGCTTGGGGCTCAGGATCAATGTCCATATCTGACTCTGTCGTACTTGTCAAGAGGGCCGCAATGGTTTCCAGGTCTGATGCGGAATATCCAGGGCATTGAAGCACTGTTTGAAATCCGAGTTCGTGAATTCGATTGTGTCCATCTTCGGGAAGTTGACAGCACGCCACAAGGGCTGTTGGGCGCTCCTCGCACACTTCTCGAACTATTCCAGCCACTTCTAGCTGGAAAGCACCCTCGTCCGAGGAAAAGCCAGCGAGCACAAATATGACGACTCTGGCTCGTTTGATGAATGCCACATGAGTGCCCGTAATGCCACGGTCTTTGACATATGGTACGTGGCGAATCCATGGGTGTTTCCGCGCAAGTGCCCGGCCGAGGGGCTCGAATGGATCGCTCGTGCTAGTTAGATTCGTTTTTAGAGGAACAACGGCCGGCGTCAGCAGCAGAACCAGCTCCTCGTCAGCTAGAACATTCTGAATGGGGACCAGATCCTGGTGATCCCACAGCAAGGCAGCCGACGAGGTCTGGCTTCGTGAACTTGAACTCGACATCGTCTGTGGCTGTATTCAGTTTGGCGATTTACATGGCCAATTCAAGCTGCAAGTTGCTGAGAACAATGACTCCTTCGGCTGGGTGCGTTCCTCACAAGCCTCGAACCCCCTTGATCAGGAAGCCGGGTTGTCAGCGTCTCAAGAGGATCAGGCGTGTTGAAGCGATATCGAGCGCGGTGGCAAGGTTGTGCACTTGGCTCTTAATCCAGATCCAGGTTTCGCAACTTGAGGAAGGGCCTCCGAAAACGGTGTCTGGCGATAAAGAGCGGCGGCGTAGCTCGCGTAAACCGAGAAAGACGTCTAAGTGGAGACAGTTCACTCAAGGGGTGAACGAGAGTTGAAACTGGGCGGCGGGCGGTCTGCGAATGGAGTCTTTTGTGACGACAACGACCTGTATGGCGTTGCTGGGGCCCCGTGGTTTTGACCGTCCAGACTGATGGAAGAGATCAGGAATGGGTTAGATTAGTGGGGGTAGTTGGGACGAAGGCTCCGGCGTCGATTGGTATCAGCATCAGCCGCCTTGATGCGCCAGGGCTGCAGTGACTCTCCAGTTGCCAGGATGCGCAAGGATACCTGGCCCAGAAGCTCAGCCTCGGGCACGACCGGCTAGAGGTCACGATGAGCGAGACTGTGGGTGGGATCCCAAGAATGATGGATGGCGAGGATCCGTACCGACGGGGAAGGCGACTGGGGAGTCAGGCTGCGCATGCGAGAGGCTGACCGAAGGTAACACGAAGATGCACGTCGGCAGAGCCGGCGAAGCCGTTTGGCAAGGATGGACGAGGTGGGCGTCAGACTCAGCGCGGCCCGAGTACTGCCATGACTCGAGGCGGCAGTTTCCATCATGAGAAGGGAGACGGGCCATGGATCTATCAAGATGCAAGCCGCAGGGGGAATGCCAGCCATTTTTGCTGCCCAGCGGCTTGGAAAACCGTCATTCATTCCACCTGGGCGCTTGTTCTGAAGGAGCGGGAGACGCCCGTTTCGCAGGTAGACATGTCCACTTTTGCCATTCTGAACAGACATGGCAAGAAAAACCGTTGAGGGTCGTACCATGCGCCAATTGAAGCTCCAGAGCACCAGACTGCCATCCCAATCACCTCGATGACGAATCAACCGCGCCCAGGGATCGTATCTACTGTCGAATGGGCATGATTTGGTCCTCCTGCAAGGCGGCTTGGCCGACCGGGGATATTCCCTTCCAGTGTAACGCCGGATGAGGTGGGTTGGGTTGCAAGCAGCAGCGGGTTTGGTCGGCCGATTGAGACATCGGTGACTGGTTTAGGCGCGTGGTGGAAGGCCTTGCGAGATGAGAGGAGGATGAAGTTTCGAGGGTGTCGATGGAGGATTGAAGAAGTTTACAAGAATGACGTTTCTTTGATCCGAGGTAGGAAGGACCGGGAGCCAGGGGAGAAGCGAGCAGCTAGAAGAGGTTAGGGTCCTTCCTTTCCCAGAGGCATGAGCAGGTTGACAGGAGGAAGCCGCGGTATTCATAAGAGGGAAAGAACGGTTGTCAACGGTCAATGACGTGAACGTTTTTGCAGTTTTCAACGCTATCTGCAAGGTGCAACTTAATTTGGACTTCTGACGTAGCTAAAAGCTACCATTGTCGGCTTAAACGACACCAAAGAGATAGGGATTGTCCCTGGCGTAACATCGACGATGGCCTAGCCTACGATCTCGGGAATGCTTGGCTCGACTACATGACTCCAAGTCCAAGAGAGAAGCGAGAACCACCCCTGGCAGCACAGGAATGCCATGTCTTGACAGCCCTTGCCACCCGGAAGTCGAAATAAGCTTCATCGCACTGATCTCCCCGTCTCACGAGGGTTGACAGAGTAACAATGGCACTGGAGTTGGGTCCTGGGGGAAATTGCGGGTAAGCTGGTGGGACTGGAGTCGTGCCTCTCAGCAATCAGGACCGGGTAGTGACCGACTGCAACATCTGCCAAGCCTGCTTCGATGCCTGTTCTGGGCACCTGAAGGATCTTGAACGTTGGCAATCACCCTTTGTTTCTTTTTTTCCCTTTCGTTGCCTGACTGTTTTAACTGAAACAAGGCCCGAGGTTGTCAGCATGTTGATGACGGTTGGGTAGCCCGGCATATGTAATATACTGACGAAACAGCCCATATGTGAGATCAATCAAACCTGCAGTATTAAGGACTAAATTAGGAAGCCCCCTATGCAACAGGAAGTCAAGGTAGCACAGAATTTCGATACCTGATACCGTACGTACACAGTAGGTACGGAGCACAAACAGCGAGCTCAGGCCCCGCCCCGGGAAGCCCCACTTCGTCCTCCGAAAACGCGTCTTCCTTCTCCGACGCGTCTCCCGGGGTGTCCCACCTAATTCACACTCCTCTTCTCCGTGTTCCGCGCCGACTCTTTGCCAGCCACTCCGATCCGGTGCCCGTCGTGTCCTTGCTGGTTGATCACCGACCTGGCAATTAACGGCTGGGCTAAGCCCTTTGTTTGGAAGGCACAGCCCAACTGCTGTGATGATGGAGACCGACACAGATCCCGCCTCGGAGGGCCATGCTGAGCTCCGGCTCTTGGTTGGTGATGTTATTGAGGGTGAGATCATCATCATTTTGCCCCAAGTCTTCCAAACCCATACTTACACTTCAATCAGCCTCTAAATTGCCAGCCAAGTCCCGCACCACCAGCATCAAACCCACTGTCGCCAATCTCACTTCCCTCGCCTACGAATGGGGCATCCTGCCGGACACGCTGGACGACCTCATCAATCTCATCACAACACCAAACCATCTTGACCAAGCAAGTCAAGCTGCCATTATCAGAAATCTCTATCCCATCTCTCCCGTCTCTCGGGATTCCACTCTACGAGTAGTGTCATGCCTCGGCCATGGAAAGCTAAAGCCGTCCCTAACCCTCCAGGCTGCTCTTCTCAAGTGGCTTATCATGGTGCACCATAACCTTGAATCACCTCAAGTCCTCTCTCAAGCTTACCCTGTCCTCTTCAACCTTCTTGATGGTGCTGCTACTCGGTAAGTTTTCCATGGCCGCCAACAATACACAGTTGCTAATGTGCCCCAAGACCTCATCTCAGCCACCTTCTGGCTCTCATCACGCGGAGAAAGCACGTCAGGCCCTTTCGAATCCAGGCGCTGTAAGTCCTAGACCTTTCTTGGATTCGCCATTGTCTAACCTGGCACAGACTCAGTCTCTCGCGGCAAACCGGAAACGACCCTTGCCTGATTGGTCTCCTGAGAGTGTTCAAAGACTACTATCCCGAGGTCATTGTTGGAGAAGCGGTTCGAGGGAAAGCCTCGTCCTTCAAGGTACATCCAAGAGTTCCCATTCTATTACCGTTTCTAACACTCAGTTTAGCACCCAGATCTACAATGGAGAGCAAGGTTGGACGAAATTCAGGAGGCGCATCAGCAACTTGCCCAAGAAGGCACCTCTAAGCCTCGAGATGGTTTCCGAGTTCATCGCACTATCGGTCGTAGCGCGAAGAACAAGCTAGTTCCTATAGTTCACACGTCTCATGCGACAGAGGTACGCAACTTGAAATATTGTTGGCGGCCATTGCTAATGTTATTAGGACTCGGTTACACTCGAGGAGATTGAAAATGCTACCGACTTTGCTAAAAAGATTGACAAGCTGGAGCTGCCTAACCAAATGGTCGCCGTCCTCGTCGACCCCCTTCTTCAGAAACTCATGCTGCTACGGCCCAACGAGGAGTCTGATCAACGGATAGCCAACTGGCTCAACTCTATCCTTGAGGACGTCACGGAAGGATTTGAAAACGAGGAGACACTATTTGATATGATGGATATCTTGCGAGACTACGTGGTATCTGCAAAGGTTAGTCCATTACCTGCCCAGCTCCATTGAACCTATCTGATGCGATGTAGAACCTCCCTCCTCTCCTCCTGAACTTCTTTGCCCACTTCCTCCCTCTGTGGAGCGGCTCCGGGCGTAGTGACTCCATGTTGGAGATTCTATCATACGCCCCCCTGCTAGACTTTCAAGGTTAGTTGCCATCAACAACTACACCACCATATTTCACTAACACTCTCCAGAACTCTATCAGCACATCTTTCAACCGCTGGAAACAGCAATTCTTGACAACACCCCGGAGTCCCAGCTGGCTCTCCTCGCCCTTTACAAGAACCTCCTTCACCACTGGACAGTCATCCTCCAGTCCAGTGACCCCATCCCAAAAAACGCCAGTAAAATTATCACAGACTTGATCAGTCACGCCAACCCTCTGGCACTCGCTCTCATCCAGACACGCCCAACACTCTCTGTCTACTCCGCCATTCTCGATTTTTACGAGCAAAATGCTCGCCTCGTCGGTCACGAGACTCTCAAAAACTACATCCGCATCGAGTTGCCACCCTCTTTCCTCATCTACATCCTCTTCTTTAGCAGCTCCGTCGCCACCGTCTCGCGTATCTGCGCCATCCTCGCCTGCTACAAGAAGGGCTTTGAACTAGCCATGCTGTCCAAGCCTCGCCGTGACAGAAGCCAACTAGTTGACTCGTCGTCATACAATAGAACTTTTGTCAACTTGTTCAACGGCTTCCTCATGGACATGTGCAACTGCTTCTGGCGCGGCCGCGCATTTGGCGATAGCGATGCCAATGCACATGGCTGCATGGTTCCACGGCGTCTCGTCCCCGTTCTGTCTACGTATGTCACTTCCGTGGACAAGACTTTGGCCCTCACCTCGATCTTGTCACTGTCACACTCGCCTGTTCTGTGCCTGCAGAGCATCAAGTGCGTGCGTGATGTCGAGGACGCTGAGATGGACAGCGACGGGACCTTGCGGGCTAGGCACGAGGGACCAGTGACACAGCATAGCCTGGGACAGCTAGCGGCTTCAGGGGGGATACAGCTCTCGTGGCAGAACTACCGTATCAAGGTGTTGGAAACGCTGAGCGCCAAGGAGCTCGCAGGCATCACGGACCTTTTGAAGAATACAATGACAGTTCTGAGAAAGCTCATGGATGGCGAGGGGGGCACAATGCCAACAGGATCTCAGGCGAGTCAAGTCAGGTAGTGTTGTCAGTACTGCGTCATCTCAAGTACCGCTAGAATTTTATGAATCAAGACTTGTCTAGTTGATGTGACCAAAGCCTTTATCCCCTTGGTTGAAATACAGGGTATCAAGTACATGTATCAGAGAATAGAACCCATGAACCGCCATCCAAGCAAAACCTCCATGCATGAAATGTTGAAGAGTATCAAACGCCGTAGAAACCAGGGTTGAGGACTGTTTTCTTTCAAATCGAACGCCATGCATGAGCACCATATACCGTCATCTCCGTCTTCCCTATGTTCCCGCGCCTGAAATGCAGTTGAGTGCCACCCGTCCTTTTTGAACTCCAGGCAAAGACAAATGAAACTCGAGGTGATTGTTAAGAAACCCTCGATGCAGCCGCCCTAGTCATGTCGTGTTTAGACCTCACGCTGCTTGGACTCGTCACCGTAGCCGCCGATCTGGATACCACCGAAGCCGTACGTCTTACCCTCGGGTGCGCGCTTCATATGGCTGCGGGGTCCTCGCTCCTTTCGATCATCTCGTAGCCAGCCCAGGACAAGCTCACCCAGGCGACTGTTGCCAGAAGCGCCCACAGTACCATCAATGGTGGAGAGCATCTTGTCAGCCTCGTCCCATTCCTTGACTGTGCCAAGGTGCATGTGGACGAGGTGACTGGGCCAGCCCGCGAGGTTGTCGAGAATATGAGTAGCGTAGACGATGGTGCACTCTCGGATCTCGGTCTCACGCTTGAGCCAGCCGAGGAACTCGGCGCGGCTGAGGACGTCAAGATCGACCGTGATCTCGTCAAGCAGGAGGATAGTCCAAGGTCGCACGAGACCCATGGCAAGCTGAACGCGGCGGCGCTCACCATCAGAAACGGCGTGCATGCGCCAGTTGGTGTCGACATCGAGCATGGCTACGAGCTCATCCCGACGCTCGGGGTAAGCATCGCCACCGACAGAGCGGAGAAGCTCATTGACACCAATATCGTTGCGAACAATAGGGTTGAGGACCCATTCGAGGCCGAGATAAGTGACACCCTCGAGACTCTCCTTGAAGGGATCAACTCCGCAGATGGAGATGGTGTTGCTGGGTGAGAGACGCTTGCCGGCGAGCAGGCGAAGGAGGGTCGTCTTTCCAGCGCCGTTGGCACCAATCAAAAGAGTTCGTGAGCGCGGAGGCAGATCCAGGGTGATGTTCTTGATACCGGTTGAGTAGTCGGGGAACGTGTACGAGAGGTCGTTGACCTGAATGCGAGGAGGCTTGGGAGGAACAGTCATGATGGGTAGCTGAGATGATCAGGTGAGGTCGTGATAAGGTATGAGAGGGTGATTGATGAGATGATAAGAAGAAAGCTTAAATGTGGAAGAGAACAAGAGAAGAAATACAATCTAGTTTCTACGAGATACTCGTCTATGAGTCGGCCCGATGTTGTAAAGTTGAAGAAACAGAGATTTTCCCCTCCTCATGAAGCATCCCAATTCATCCATTTTGTCCGAATGGCGGGGGGGCCGTCTTCGGGTCATGACCCCGCCGTCCTTCAGCGGTCTCACCGCCCAAATCCAGCACGTCATACAACTAAAAGAGACTCTCGGGGTCCACTGAAGTTGCCCCATCCCACTATCTCGCCGGGGTGGCCCACCTATCCATGCCTGCCCGTTGTCCAGCCACTTTACGCCAACCTTCGTTTCTGACGCGTATCAAGCTTCGGGACGCGTTTTCTTGCATTCAACTTTGACCACCATTCAACGTCGGTTGCGATAACCACGATATCGGGACGCTGTGATATCCAGGTCTTCGACAACGGCATTCTACAGCTTGACTATAGTCAATCCTGCGCCATCGTCGCTGCCCTGCCAAAATGGTCGCACTCGAAGAGGTAGAGGGCAGCCTCCTTCAGAAGCCATCGTAAGTCCTACAAAGCTCCCTTACCGACACCTCATCCAAGATCTCGACTAACAGGATACTCCTACAGCGATGCGGCTCACCGAGTCCCTTCCCGAGTCCCCTCCGCGTACAAGCCCATGCAATCCTTCGCTCTCGACAAGCAGAAATCCTACCAGCAACAATATGGCGACATGTACTTCTTGCGCCTCACAAAGATCAAGCCCGCTGTTGATCAAGTCGCCGAGGCTGCATGGAGTGGTACATCTATCGGTGGCGAGACGGCTCAGCGAGTTGAGAGGGTGCTCGATGTCCGCCAGGGAGAGCTCTGCTGGGTGACGGGCACCGTGTATATGGAGATGCCCCTGAAGCCTAATATTCTCGAGGATGTGTCCAAAGATGTATGATCTCCTCCCAATTGGTCTTGCCCTAACCCCCAAAGCTGACTTGCGGCCACAGCGCTGGATCTCTGCCCCAATCTCGACGCCCAAATACTTCTCCGACGACGACCAGGTCATGCTGGAGGACGAGTCAGGTCGCATCAGGCTAGTTGGAGACTTGCTCAAGTCACTACACCTCGTGACGGGTTGCATCATCGGTGTTATGGGCACCGAAAACTCCAATGGCGAGCTCGAGGTCATCGACGTCAAGTTCCCGGATCTAGCTCCTCAGCCAGAGCGCTGGAGCCTTACCAACGGAACCGGCAAGAAGGCCAAGGGCGAGGATGAGGAAATGGCCGACGCCCCTGAAGGGAAGAAGGGCAACAATAAAGTCGCCATCGTGTCTGGCTTGTCCTTTTCTGGTACCGATGCTTCTTACGCCCTCGAGCTCGACTTGCTCCTCGAGTACTTGCTCGGAGAGGCACTCAGTCCTTCCAGTCAGGCCGACGTCTCGCATATCAGCCGCCTCATCATCGCCGGAAACTCCATCTCAACAACAGACCAAAAACCCCAGGCCGCAGAGGAAGCCCAACCAGAGAAGAAAGCCCACAAAAAGTACGGCTACGACTCCAGCGCCTACAATGCGCTCCCCTCTCAGCTCTTCGACGCTTTCCTTGCTGAACTCCTCCCTTCTATCCCTGTGACGATGCTCCCTGGCGACCAAGACCCTGCCAATGCCAGCTACCCACAACAGCCTGTTCACTCAGCCATGTTCCCCAACTCACGGGTCTATGCCCGTGATCCATCTTCCCCAACGAAGCCAGGGTGGTTTGATACGGTGACGAATCCCTGGGAGGCTGAGGTCGAGGGATGGCGTTTCCTAGGTACTGGCGGTCAGAACGTTGATGATGTTTTCAAGTACGTCGGCAGTGATGATCGCCTGGGCATGATGGAGGCAATGTGTCGATGGCGATGCTGTGCCCCCACTGCCCCTGACACACTCTGTAAGTGCTCAACCTGTGATCATCCGTTCTGCTCAGCTAACACTTTCCAGGGAGCTATCCTTTCCAAGAAGACGACCCATTTGTCATGAAGACGTGCCCACACCTGTACTTTGCCGGATGCCAGCCCCAGTTCTCAACCAAGGTGGCGCACGGCCCTGACGGCCAGTCCGTAAGACTCATCACTGTGCCATCATTTTCGACGACAAAGGAGATCGTGTTAGTGGACACGGAGACACTTGAGGTGGAGAGAGTCAAGATATCAGCCAAGTAAACAGACGAGAGCAGAATAGGAGTTGGAAGGTTTAGAAAATAGGTTGCAAAATACCCCGAATGCATAGGCCAGTTGACCGAGCTACCTAAGCTCTCTTCATCTTCATAAGCAACGTTGTCCCAGAATCTCGTACCCTTGCCCAGCCCAGTTCCCGTTTTCAACGCCTGGTTCTTGAGGATGACCACCATCTTACACAATGCGCCTTTTGATGTGCCAATCGTCCTCAGTTCGGCTCAAACTCAGAGTCCTCGTCTCCCCCATCTTCAGAGTTCCCGTCCGTCTCATCTTCGACGAACCATTCGAAAGCCTCTTCGTCGTCATGCCCGAGGTCGTCATCCGATGCGTCATTCGCGTTCTGGCCGTTCGTCTGGTCGACAGGCTCTTGGACGTGCTTTCTGCAGGCCTGCAAAACCTTGTACTCAAGCTCAGCCAGCTGCCAATTGCACCACCTGATACCCGCCATGCGAAAATCTTGCATGCGACGGTCACCTCTGAACAGGTCGAGCGGCTCTTTGCCTCCGCTTTGGCGGCTGAGCTGCTGCAGCTTTCGGTGCTTGGCGAATCGGAGGTACTGAAGGGGCAACGAGATCTCGCTCCGGACTGGGCCCTCTCCCTCGTTGAGATACTTGTTCCAGACCTTGATAACAATCTTCTCACAAGCGATGCCTTTGAGAGCCGCGATAAGGGCTGAGCCTTGCTGGAAGAAGTTGACAAAGGTAAAGGTACCGTTCTCATATTGAGGGCTGATGACAATCTGCAGGGTGTGGACATTCATCTTGCTGGGGAATTTGGCGAATGTCTTTATCGCCTCGAGCATGAACTCTTGGGTTTGGGCTGAGTGACGATTGTGATCGGCCTGGATGGTCAAGTACCGGAAGTCTTCCCCAAACTTGTCGACGTTGATGGTGCATCTCTCATGCTTTCCGGTTTTCGAAACCCTTCCGGGGTGATAGTCGTCTACTGCAGCCAGCTGCTGGGCCCCTATCATCTGGTGAGATGGTCCAGGGGCATCACGGAGGCGGTACAGGAAGGTGTTCTCTCTGTATAGGATGCTCGTCGCCTCTAGGTTGATTCTTTTGTTCACCCGGAGGATGCGAGTGTCGAGTCCTGGTCTCTCGCGCTCGTAAACACGCTTCCAACCGTCGTAGACGGGGATGGGCTTGTGTGAGACGAGAATGTGGCGGTAAATACCCTCTCTGACCTCTGTGGGCATACCCATCAAGCTTGCCTTCTTGAACTTGGGCTTAGGCTTGGGGATAACCCTGCGCTGGGACCTGGGTTGGGGCTTGGGCGTGGGTCTGGGTCTGACTGGTGTCACATCCCCGGCGTACGCAGAGAAGATGAATGGAGGCGGCGCAACATCGTCTTCGTCAAGTGACTCTTCATTCTCAGATGCGGGGGTTGGAGCTGGAATGGGCCACTCTGGGATGCTGGCCATCAAGATGGCATCGTGAATGTACTGGTCGCGAGGGATGCCGAATTCTTTTTTGAAGTCTTCTGGAAGGGGAGCCTCAACCTCGACAGCAACTTCTTCATCAGAATCGGAATCGGAATTCTGGGAAGAAGTTGGCTGGCGCCGTCTCTTGGCTAGGCGGCTGTTGGGGACTGCCTTTCTCTTGCGGCTTGTGGTGGCCGAAGAGGCATTCGTGGACGGTGTAGAGTTGCGGCTCGTTCGCTGCGAACCTGCCCGGCTTCGAATGGGCAGATTCTCAGAGCGAGCCGCTGTAGGCATGGTTGGTTGTGAAGACCTAGGGGAGTTAGAAAGGAAGAGATAGGGGTAGAGGTTGAGTTGGGGTGAGACGTACCAGGTGTGGGAAGTTGGAAGAGCTGAATGGGACGCGGAATGGTGTAAGTGAGGAGAGGGGGTTGAAGGAACTGTGGAGTTGGAAAGGAGAAAGATGATGGGTGAATGTGTAGGCCGGGGATTGAGGAACTCTTGTTGAAGGCAGTGAACCCTTATGGTCAAATGGCGATGAGGGTAGCCTAAGTGTGAGAACACTTGGGAGGGAAAAGACAGACGGAAATCGAAAAGAAATTAGATGTGCCTGAAGACGATTGTGTCGTAGTGAATTGGGTTGAAGATGTTGAGAGATGGATGAGGATGGTAACGATGAATAGGTTTGGTATGAGCGAGTGGGCTAATCAACCAGATCCAAGCTTGGAAAAGTAATTGGATCGATGAAAGGGGGAAAAACTGAAGACAGACTTCCATCGAGTTAAGAATCTGGCATTTCAAGTGAAGCGATCATGATTCACCGCCCCGTAACGCAGGGTTAGAGTGTCTTTGCCTCCGAAGTGCTTGGAGCTGGAGCACGCATGGACAATAATCAGTAATTCTGACATTGAAGAACGGACAGATATCGTCCAAGTTACATTGATCCAGCCCAAAATGGTTCGTCTTCCCGCCCAGCATCTTCCAACAAACTCTCAAGACTGACTGGAGCCGGCGTCACACTCGTCGGTCATGGATAAATGGCAGGCAGAGTATTCATAGCTTACAATTACGAATCTATCATATTTCAAGTGAATCATAAGTCTTTGTTTCAGTGCTAATGAATGTCATCTCAGTAACTCAATAACTGCTTCCTAGGTTGTCGAAACTGCAAACAAAGAGCCATAGGCAGGTGACACAACACTCCAGTCTGCCTACTTTTATCATCTAAGCCCCATAGAATCAACATTAGCTTCTACGTAGAATAGAAGTCATGCATACCCTGGGGAGTAGACGCCGTTCAAAGTTTGCCGCTATCCAATGTCCACGAAACTACCCAATCAGGCAACGAGCAAACACCATGAAAGACTTGCAACGACAAGTCGATACATCTTGTTTACACCGCAACATCCAACTCAACGGTTCTCAGGCGGTCAGATCTCACAAAAGTCAATCTTGTCTTGGTATACGACCCTGCGTCAGGCACATGAGCCACCACTCGACGGGCGTATTGCGTCCCCTGATCTGGCCGTGATGCGCACTTGCATTCCTATTACCCTATAAGTGACCTCTAATTACCCTATAAAATTTATCCTGTCGTTACCAATTCATTTGTGGTGGTTGCGGCGATACGTTGTTGGGTTCGACGTGACCATTTCCGAAAGCTCGGCTCAAGCGGGGAAGTTGAGGTCACGATGGCTTCAAAGCATCCATTAAGAGAAAACACGAAACTATTACCCTATCAAAATATCATGTGAGAAATCTAAATCAATCTCCCCGCTTTCAGTCAAAGTCAACATCTCATCTGGTGACACAAAGAACACCTTTGAAGAATGAGGTCTCAGAAAGAGGACCCTAACAGGGCATCAAAAGAGGGCCTAGAAATGCCCCAGAATCATCCCGAACATGCGACGTCCACGCCTTTCCAATGTCAAGCGCATGTCAATCCTTCCAGGGCGCACCAATCAAAAAGCGAGCAAAGCATTGGCGAGCGCTAAAACGGGCAGAGTTACGCGGGTGTTGAGGCCCGTTCTACCCGTAAAAGTCGGATACTTTTTAAAGAATTTTCTTATCTTTTGGGTACTTATATAGTACTTGTCTATACAAAGTCACTACTTGCCCCTGCTGATCAAATTAGAGCCACTTGGATAGACTTTTTTATTCTTCGTTTTGTTGTTAGTAACGGCTTCTTTCGGGGTTCACATTCGGACGTGTCCGGCCGAGAGCGAAGACCAAGACCCATATACACCATCCATCCACTATACAGATATATCAACCTGCTCCCTTCACAGCATTCGACTTGCGATTTCAACACATTTTCAACTTATTCATAACTACTCAAGTTACTCATAATGGGCTCTCTCGACGTCGATGCCAAACTCCCCTGGATCAAGACACCATGCATCCCAAGCCCCCAACTATCAAAAGTAGCAGGCTGGTAAGTCCTCTTTACCTACAATCACTAGATCTACAACTCACTCTGTATCTAGCAACGTCTACCTCAAACTTGAAAACCTGCAGCCGTCAGGCTCCTTCAAGTCCCGTGGCATCGGCAACCTCATGACCCGGGCCGCCGCCTCGGCTCCGGGCCCGGTGCACTTTTACTGCTCGTCGGGCGGCAACGCCGGCCTCGCCTGCGCCACATCGGCCCTCTCGCTCGGCCAGCCTGCCACCATTGTCATCCCCCACATCACCTCTCAGCTCATGAAGGATAAGCTGCTAGAGCTCGGCGTTGAGGTCAAACAGGTTGGCAAGAATTGGGCTGCCGCTGATAAGTATCTTCGTGAGGAGCTGTTGGCCAATGATCCTTCGGGTGTTTATGTGCCCCCGTTTGATCATCCTCATGTATGGGATGGAGCTTCAACCATTGTTGATGAACTACGAGAGCAGCTTGACGTGCCTATCGACGGCATCGTGTGCAGTGTTGGAGGCGGAGGTCTAGTCAACGGCCTCATGCAGGGCGTCGAGGGTCATCAATGGACAACCACAAAGCCAACCGTGCTCGCGGTCGAGACAGTAGGCGCCGACAGCCTCAACGCCAGCGTCAAGGCTGGGGAACACGTAACGTTGCCCGAGATGGCCTCGATAGCAACATCCCTAGGCGCCACGCGTGTGTCGGAGCAGACTTGGAAGTGGAGCCAACACCCGAGCGGCACGATGAAGAGCCTGGTCGTTTCTGATGCTGATGCCGCCATCAGCTGCGTGCGGTTTGCAGATGATGGAAGACATCTCGTCGAGGTGGCATGCGGAGCGACTCTGGCGATTGCTTACCGTGGGGACTTGCGAACAATCCTTGGCAAGGACTTGTCTGACGAGGAATGGAGCAAAAAGAATGTCGTCCTGGTGGTCTGCGGCGGGTCCAATATCACTCTGGGCATGTTACAGACATACAAGGAAAAGTACCAAGCAGAGTCCTCCATCAAGGTGTAAAAAGCCTTGTTGTTGACTCACGAGACAATAGATTGGGTGAACGCTCAGTCAGATGCGAACCTGGCGTTACAGCTCAGGCATATTCAAGAGGGAAAAGAGATAGGACAAGGCAGATCAGGGTCGTTTAAACATGTGATTTAGGTCTAGCGTTGAAATTAAAACCCGCCTCTCGTACAACATATGCTTGAGCAATATGCTTAATATAGAGCCACGGCGGTAATCTCAGACACCTCTGCACTGCATGTGGAAACGTGTGAAGAGCGCAGCCTCAGCCAATATTGACCAGAAAAGCCTCCAACTCGTTACAGGCTGCAGGGCTGACGGCCACCCGCCAGGGCCTTCTTCAGCCGTTCAATAGTGGCGTCTGGTGGCGTTCCAGCAAAGGCCCGTCTCCTGACGAACTGGTGACGCCGTAAGCAATTGGCGTTATCGAGGAAGCGCCATCGAGGCATTTTGAAGATTTGTCGAGGCGGAATCGAAGCGGTTGGAAATTGGTGGCTCAAAGAGCGGAGGACGAGTTTTTTGGACGAGTATAAGAAGTTGAGGATGAACGAGGGATGAGTGAATGCATCAGAAACAGCAAGCCTTACTCCATTACACAGCATCAGAGAAACCTTTGAAATCTCTTCAAAATGTTCAAGACTCTTGCCGCTTCGTTGGTCCTCCTAGCTGGCTCTGCCATGGCCATGACCCCCAACCCACAAACACAGAGCCTCAAGCCTCGCAGTGACTACTGCGGAACCGACCGTAAGCGCTTCTTAAAAATCCACGAAAACAAATCCTAACGTGTCCTGCAGAGTACAATATTGACTGGTATTGCGTCAACTCCGACACGTCCTGCTGTGTCGGCAGCGTCCAAGGCGTCTGCATGCCCACAGGCTACTCATGCTGCGACACTGGCTTCTACTGCGAACCTGATGAGCAGTGCTACCTTGTTGGAAATGTGCAGTACTGCATCAAGGACGGAAACAAAGCCGAGGCGACGCGTACCGCTGAGTCGCACTCTGTTGGTGAGACCGAGGCCAGCAAGAGCAAGAGCAAGGATAGCAGTGACGACAATGACGATGACGAGGACAATTCTGCTGTGACTTCCACGAGCAATAGGATCTTGCTTCTCTTGCCTCTCTTGGGCGCCATAGCTGCTTGGCTGTGAGGGATTCACTTATAATGAGGCGTTTGGAGTTGAGGGTTTCGTGAGAATAATGAGGAGTCGTGAGCCGGGAAATAGTCATTAATTGATTACTATAGTCTGTATATATATATGTCAGCAATCTTCTCTGAGGTCAAATACCAACAAGCATACCTACTTCTGTGCCAGACACCGTCTATCTTCTTCCTTTGCTTGTGCTCCCTCTCCCCTTGGCTGCCTCCTTATCCGCCTTGGCCTGATCAATAAAATCCTTCATAATCTGGTGAAGATCGGGATTCTTTCTAGCGAGCAGGAGGACATCATCTGTCGTCACGGTTGTACGACCTGCGTGGTTGCTAAACGTCTCCAAGTCGGTGGCCACATTTTCTAACGCCCGGCCTCGTCAGCATGTAGCTCGTATGGATTACAAAGAGAAGACGCACCTATCTGGGCCCAGACGAGCTCTGTGAGGGCGCCAATAAATTGCGGCGTGGCATTGCGGTTGCGGATGAGTGACTGCTCATCGACAATCTGACCGACGGCGTACCACAGCGCGGCCTTGAGGCGCTGGAGAGTTGGTTAGCTGGTGTTTTGCAAATCAACTGACGTGCGATAATACCTCGCGATCCTCATCGCCTGTTGTGTCAGCCATTTTTGTGTTGGTGACGTTTAATGTGAAATGGTGAAGTAATACTGAAAATGATGGAGCGTGTCTTGACGCGTCGCGGGGTACAGAAGGTGCTTGTGAAACTGCCTGCGAATAAAGAGGCGGGGTGTTTGCTCGGTTGCACAACAGCGAAATAAAGCCACATTCACAGGAGAAAATATTCGTGGATGATTGGGATGCTTTCAATTCTTTTAAGAACGGACTAGAAATCAGAGGTACTATAGCATTGATACCATCTTGTGTTGTGATGGTAATCCATCCAACAGGGCCTTGAGCAACATCGATAACCAAGCGTAGACCCAGGCTGTCAATGCAGAAGTATAACCATGTTGGATGACACATACCATTCGTCTAATATATGCAGGGCAATAGTTGAACTATGCGCAAATACTATTTCAGTTTGAAATTTGGAAAGGGCCCTTGGCTTTGTCACAATATACGGTCCATTCAAATGTACTTTGCCAAATATCGGTACTGTTCCGTTATGCCATCCACACAACACTTCAACCACCACCGTTCAAGCTCAATCCAAGTGCCACAATTCTCGCAAGTCCACAATCCCCTGTAAATCGTTACCCTTTATGTAAATCTTAAAAAGTCTGCTTGTGAAAGTCCCCGAACTCGTTCGTCATCACATTGATCAGCGCTGGAGTCAATTGACATCATCAGCTCCATCAAGGACCCAAAGACCCTAATGGCGATCAACAGGTGATGGCCTGCGAGTTAAAGCATATTTTCAACATTTTCCCAACGCATATTCGGAGGTGTAAACTCTATAAGAAAAGGTCCGACTTGGCGATAAAAGATGGCCGCTTGTCAGAAAACAGGAACAAAAAGATAGGTGAGATGCTTCAGCATGGCTTCAGAATCTCGCAATTCATCCAAGCCACAGTTAAGCCCATCACCCCACCCACAAAGATGGCTGTGTTTCACCACCATCCAATAGGCTACTCCTAAAATCCAACCCCACACTTCCTGACGCCATGGCTTAATGCACCAGCCACATAAACCTCGTCATCCTTTGAACCAAAGCTCCTCTCTCGCCACTCACAGCCATCAAAGCAACAGGAACAGCCATTCAATCAGATGCTTTCGGGTTTTCGGCCCAGAACGGCGCCTACGTAATGCTACTTCAAGTCCCTGTAAATAAACTTGCGTTCGTCCGCTTAAACCATTGCCGTTTGATCTCACCCATCCTTTACTTAACCAACATCACCAACTCACACACACAGTCGCGATAACTTCACCAACCATGGGCGCAGGATCAGGCGTCACTCTCAAGTTCCTTCAGTGGTTCATCCGCGGAGTCCAGTTTGCCTGCGCTGCCCTTATCCTCGCCATCTACTCGTACTTTCTCGCCGCTCTCCACAATCACAAGCTCTCCATCAGCGACACGGTCCGCGCCGTCGAGGGAATCTCGGGTATTGCCGTGCTCTACACCCTCGCTGGTCTTCTTCTCCTCTGCTGTCTCGCAGGACGTACCCTATCTTCTTTCATTGCTATTATTCTCGATGTCGCATTTATCGGCGCATTCATCTACGTTGCCGTCGCCAACAAGAATGGAGCTAGTAGCTGTGATGGCTATCTAGACACTCCATTCGGCAAAGGTAAAGCTAGCCAGACAGCAAAGGGAAGTGATGGCTTCACTGCTCTTCCCAGCTATCGTGTTGCTTGCAGACTTCAATCTGCTTGCCTGGCCGTTTCCATCATCGCAATGTATGTATCCCATCTCACCTCGTCGAATTTCATTATCTGACATCAGCACAGCTTCTTCTTCGTCTTCTCCATCCTCATGGAGGTAGCCCTCGCCCGCCACCATAACAAGGAGAAGCGCTTCGGTCCCAGCCCCGCCAACAATTACACCTCTGGCTACGGCAAGCGACCCGGCTTCTTTGCCCGTCTGTTCCGTCGCAAGACGGCTGCCGTTAACCAAGACAACGAGCTTCCTGAGCACACCCACCCAGACCAGCTCGACGACAACGCCCGCCAGAGCCACGGAACCGAGCGTACCGCTGTCAACAGCTACCCCGACAACACGTACAGCAAGTACGACAGCAACGGGTACAGCTACCCCGATGCCAACCACAGCCGTCAGGACGGGTACGGCCAGATCCACTATCCAGAACCCGAGTACGGTGTCACGCAGCCAGCACCTCACAACAACCAGAACAACGCGAATTACCGATATGACGACGGTGTCTACGATCGTGCGTAAGAAATTGGGAATGTATGGACGAGAACAAAGGATCAACAGAGAATGAGATACCCGGAATGTTACTCCCGGCTAAAGCAACCGGTCGCTTACGAACATTTCATATTCAACACAGATAGATGATAGGACCTAATGAGCTAATAATGCATAATATTGTACGGTTCTTTACATTTCTAATGCCCCATTGACTTGGAATTCGTCCCTCACGTAAACGGATTAAAGTCAGCCCTGGCTTGTTATTCCAGAAGGTCCCAAATCAGATACTAGAGATGACGAAACACAGAGTCTAGTAGCATGGCAACCGGCTCAACAAGGTTCCACAACGGCATTGCGTTGCCCGATCATGACCTTTGACAAAACCTTGATATAAAGTTATAACAAGGTGCTTACAGTTGCGGTTACTCTAAACCTAGATTTGGCCAGAGTCGGTGACGAGTATCTGTTAGCGGACATCCAACTGGGAAGGTGATCAAGATGCGATAGTAACACAGATTGAGATTTATAATAGCAATAGAAATACATCCATCTTGTATTGCATGGTTAAACCTCCCCGAATATTTACATCACGTTAACTGAGTTGTGATAGTAAACCCCTGAGTTAAGCCCATCGGGAGGACACGCCATTGCGGTCCTATATTGGTTTGCTATGGGTCTTAGGTCATTTAGTAGGAGAATACACCTAGTAATTTAAGTCGCTATCTTATGCTATGTTATTAGTAATAGTAACTTGCTATTGCTAGAATAGAGAGTAGATTAGCTATTTTTATTATTCTCGATAAGATAAGGTTTATTAAGGCAAAGTATTAAGTATAAGAGTATCTATAGAGCTTATTTAATATTAACTCCTATATTAAAAGGCATTAGGTATAATAGCTTAACTATATAAGGCCCTAATACTAATCATATATCTAAGGATAACTAAGATATTTAATTTCTACTTAGATAAATACTAAGATATACTTAACTTAAATTATTAGCTATAGCCGCTATATATATAAATATAAGCTATCTAAATTATATATATAAGAAAAACTAATATCGCTATATATATTATACTAGCCTAGGGCGCTAAAGCTCGCTTATTTTACTATTTAAAATAACCTAGATAGCTTTCTATTGCTTTCCTTAATTAATATAAGAAGGTAATAACCGTAGATTAATATAAGATAATTATAGATTAATATAAAGCTATTTAGAGATATATATTAACTAAGATAAATAAACCTAACCTCCCCGGGCTATTAAATAATACCCTCTCACTATTTAATAATATTAATAATATTAATAATACCGAGATCTCTTTAGATAATATTATAGGTATAAGGAGGTATATAAGGATATACCTATTCGCTACTAAGGATTATTTAGATAATACTAAGTATATAGAGGAAGAGTTTCTTATAAAGCTTTTAATTAAAGATAATATTAATATAAATTAAGAGAGATTATTTAGGATATTTATTTTCTTTAATAAGTAAAATAAAAAAGTATCTCGCTTAAGAGATTATAATAATCTTATTATATAAGGTATTTATTAAATTACTAACTTATAGCTTATGAGAATATACTTTAAGTAGGTACTTAAGGCCCTAGAGTTAATCTTTAAGGACTTATTCTATATACTAAAGGCTATATTCTTTAACCTCTATAAGTAGCTTTAAAATAATATTATTATTAGTAATAATTAAGAGATATATCTAAAATAGAAATTATTAATTATCCTTTAGATCTTTATCTTTAGCGCTATATAAAGGAATATAGCTAAGATCTTCTCTATTAATTAAAATATAATCTTAAGGGTATTTTATAAGATTATTAAGCCGCTACTCTATTTATATAACTACTTTATAATATAGCTAATAATAAAAGAGCTCTCTCTTAATATAGAATTAAATAGGGATTCTATATAGTTTAATAATACTATAGGGGTAATAAATAAGACTTATATATATACCTTTATTACCTTTAAGTAATAAGGAAAATAATAATTAAGGAAAAATTAAGTCTCTTAAAATATATTAGCTATAATTAACCTTAAAGGTTAATTTATATATATACTTATAGGTATAGAAAGCTCTATTTATAACTCTATATTACTTTAGATTACCTTTATATAGGTAAACCTATAAAAGCTTATATTTCCTTATAGCTACTTTTATCTCGCCGATATTAAATTTCCCTTAAGATATAATATCTTAATATTATTTATAGGATATATATATTACTTAAAAGACTTCTAAGACCGAGAAATATTATTAAACTATAAGGAAGAGGTATTTAATTATAGGTATACTAAGTTATAATAAGTAATTAAGTAGACCTTTAATATATAAAAAAAGAAATTTATAATCCTATATAGCTACCCTCCTAAGTATAATCTTAATAATTAGTAGCTTATTATATATACTATAGCGGCTATATATAACTTTATTTTAAATAAGGAGAGAGAATTTATTAAGGAGAAGAGATTACTTAAGGAAATATTAATAAAAAAAGAGAGAGATATTATAAAGGCGGCTAGAGCTTATATTAACTTTATTATACCTTTCTAAGCTAATAGGTATATATAAGAGTATATTATAGCATAGATATAGACTTAGTATAGCTTTAAGGAATAGATTAGAGGGTAATAAGAGCATAAGGCTATTAGTAATAAAGTTAATTAAGCTAGAAAATAAAAAAGAAGGAATTATAACTATAAATATAAGGGTAATAAGAGTAGTAGTAATAAAAAAAAAAGCCCTTTATTAAGGGCTATAATAAAGATATTAAGGCTAATATAGAGGTATTAAAAAATACCTTAATTTATATATAAAAAATAACTTTTAGGCTAATCTAATTATATAAATTAATATTAATACTATAGATTATTATAAGCCTACTTATAAGGCTTAGCTATAAGCCTAATCTTCCTTATAATTTAAGCTTCTTTTATAATAATTAAACCTAATATATTCTATATTATAATATTACCTAGATCTTCCTAGAATTAATAAATTACCTAGATTATTAATAATAACTCTTTCTCCTTTATAACCTCCTTATAATTAATAATAGCCTTCTCTATATCTTATAAGCCGACTAAGTAGGTATAAAAAACTATATTATAAGTCCTCTAGGTCTCCTAATATATTAAAATCTCTTTTATCTCCCCCTAAGGTATATTATTATAATCTTTATTATATTTCCTTTTCCTTTAATAATTAATAAAAGGGTTATTTAATAATATATTACTTATAGGATAAAAAGTAAAGTAATTCTAAGCATATTAGTAAATCTAGGGAGGCAATAAAGCTATTAACCGGCGATTAAGTAAGTTTCTAGCTTTATAAGAGTAATCCTATAATATAGAGAGAGACTACTAATTATCTTATATATCTTATAATAAGGAGAGGAAAATATAATTATCTCTCAGTATTACTCGCTCCTTAGCTTTAACTTTATCCGCTACCTTTTCCTCTATTATATTATAAGCCGCCGCTACCTCCTTTATCTCTACTTCTATTACCCTAATCTATATTACTTAGCCGTGGGTTCTCTCTTACTAATAGGTATAGTCTCTAAGTAGGTAAATCTACTTCTTAGTAGGCTTATTATCTAAGAAGATCTTATTATATTCCTCGAAGTTAATATTATTAGAGATAAGTAGACTCTCTATAGCGATTTTATTCCTTAAAGGACTATACCTCTTAAAGTAGAGATTCTTATTATCCTTATTTATTAATAATAGACTAAACTTATATTTATAGTAAGATCTAAAGTAATATTTTATATCCTTAAAGGCCTATTAGAAGCTCTTAATTTATATAATTTTTATTATTATTATCTTTAGGGCCTATTAGGCCTCTAATTACCTCCTTTAAAAGCTAGGAATAAATATCTTAAAGAATAACTTATAGGTAAACCCCTTCTTTACTTTTAGCTTTCCCTAATAATAAGCTTTTAATAATCTCTTAAGGAAATATATCTCTTATTCCTTAGATTAATATTAACTTATTAGATTCTTTAATTTCCTCTTATTATCTTTATATTAATAATCCCCTTACTCTTTAGATCCCTTGCCTATAATTAATATAGACCTTAATAGCTAGCTAGATAGCGCTATTAATATTTTAGCTAGTAATTCTATGCGTATTATTAAATTTCATAATAAGAGCTAAGAATATAGAGATATCTTAGAAATTCTAGCGTCTTAATAGCCTTATTTTAATTATTAAAAGGCGATATTATTATAGCTCGAGTATTAATATTATAATAACTTTAATAGCTACGGGGGAAGGTAATAAGGGAAAGAGTAGTATTAAGCTTAACGGGGTTTTAATATATAACGGTAGGTATACTAATTTTATATGATATAATATCCCGAGCTAAAATCCCTAATAGACTAATAGATGATTGGTATTAGGACCTAAAACTATATATATTTGACTAGGTTACCTTAATCTACCCTCTGGGTATGCTATGAGGTTAAATTACTTTTTAAAACCCCTGAGTTGACAAGTTGTATTAGACATCAACACATCGCCAATCAAAGACAGTTTACTTGTTCTTGGATTCGCTGTATTCGTAGTTATGCTCGCTGTTCGCAAGCAAAACATCTGCCTAGCAACTAACAGCTACATAACTTCTCATTCAATAACCATGCTCACCATCCCTCAACATGCTCCAACTCACTCATCCCATCATCAGCTCCGGGATCTGGCCAGCTCAAATCCAGCTTTTCAAGCTCCCTCGAGAAAAAATCTTGCTCCTCCCTCATCGCAGCTCTGATATCCGGTGCAATCTTATCTGGGTACCGTCGAATATTGAGCCAGTGCGTCAAACTCCTAAGAGCCTGCTCCAGCGGCAGCGCCGCATCCACCTCAGCATCGACGTCACTACCGGCGAGCCATTCGTCCCGGAGCTCCGGTCTGCAGTGTAGGTAGACCGCTGTGATGACCCTCATGTTGCTCTGTCGCCACTTACGGCCGCAGTATGGGACCTGGTTCTTGAAGAGCTTGAGCGTGTAGAGGCGCAGATCCGGTTGTGGCACCTTGAGCGACTTGCGGAGAATCGTCGACGACTTATACTGCACGAGAAGCAAGTTTCGGTGTGCTTTGTTCTTGCAGATCTTCTGCATCACTCTCAGGTAGTTGATGAGAGAGAAAAAGTTGCGGCGGGAAAAGTCTGTAATAGGTTCCATAGGGAGAGCGTTGAGGGGATATCCCAATTCGTCAACCTCGGGCCTCGTGAAAGACTGGTCATCACTCCTCACATCACCGTCCTCTTCCTGGGTTTGTTGCGAGGGTGGTGACCGCCGTCTCTTGATCGGCGGGGGTGCTGCGTCGTCTTCACTCTCTTCTAGATCGTCTTCGTCTTGTTCCATCTCTGCAGCTGCTTTGTCTCTCGACTTCGATAGTAAATTGCAAAAGTGGAAGAAGCTTCTTCAATAGTTAGCAAACCAATCTAGTACTCAACAAAAGCCCTGCTCACCTGTTTTCACCTCGGTCCATCTTGCTGTCGACGACTTGCTGTACGTCCTGATGAGCGAACAGCTTAAGAA